ATTTACCAAGCTGTCATTCAAACAGTATATAATCACATTTAGGGAAAACAGCCTAAGCTGGATATAGGCTACAGCAGTAGGCTTAATTAAATGGCGCAACAGGCAGCTCTCTTTTAACACAGACTTTTAAGAAGGGATGGATGTTTGCTTTAAGTGATAGGCCAGGTAAGTGAAACTATATTATCTTGCTGTATGTATGTCGTTTTCGTTACGTTTTCTGACTAAAAGCAACCAAAAAGCCGTTTTAAAGTGGTTAAGCAAATTATATTAATAATAATCGGCAGGGTTCGCAGACCAATACAATTAGTGTGCCTCTATTTTAAAACCCACGAGCCGCCACTGGTTCTAGGCATGATTAGATGACTTAAACTCACTTTTTCAAAGTATTTTTTATAAAAATGTTGGGATATTGCTTAAAAATGCTGAATGAAAACCGAATAAAATGCATGCTTGAACTTTATCGTTTATTTTTATTTGGTTCATAATGTAATATTAAGTTATGTAAAATTCAGTAAGAAGACAAAAATTGTAAAAAAAAAAAAAAAAAGTGACTGAAAATTTTGCATCGGATTGGGCCAATAGTTTCAAAGCAACTTAAATGTTGCTATGGTCATCATCTGGATCATCTGATGGAAATGCTTTATTTCAAATTGTTTCAGAATTCAGATTTGTATATTGCTGATGTCATGGCATTTCTTCTAACATTATGTCCTCCTTAGCCTTAGACGAAGTCCACATTAATTATAATGATACATTTGAAAATGCATCATTTTCTCTACATTTTGTCAATTCACCCACACTGAGACAGCGTTTTTAACCACGAAAACAACTTTTTGAAGAGACTATCCCAAGTCAATAATTTTCAGAAGTGTTTTTGCGTTGGTGGGTGGACTGCAAAAATAGAGGTATTTGAAAATGATGGCTTGTATTTAGTCATGTGAAGCATTGTACTCCTTTTCAGACGTGTTGGTGTGGACGATCAACTTTTGGGGAAAAAGTTTAAAACTGCTAGTGGGAACTGAGGGTGAAAATTCTGTTTTTAGATATATCCAAATTAATGTGGATGTAGCCAATAGCGGTGGTTTTCAGCAGTGTACCTGGAGGAGAGTTGCATGTCTCCTTAATCAAACAGAAACCCTGTTGGAAACCACTGGTCTAATGTATAGCGTTGTAGCCCATCATGGTAACTCTACCTTTCTTTTCTGTGCTTCAGACCGTTCAGAGCGCGTTACCTCCACCTATGCACAAGGTGCTCGACCCAAAGAGAGCCAGTATTCATCCCACAGAGAGAATGGTTCATCTAGTCGCCATATCTCAGCCGAGTATCTCCCTTCTCCTCTGGAGCGCAGCTCCTACAGGCTGACCTCAGATTACCAGTCTGGTCCATTCTCTCGTGATACGCCACGCTCCAGCTCTAGCTCCACCAGAACCTCGGCCTCTGTCTCTGACCCATCCAAGCTCTCATCCTGGAGCTCCACCCCTTACACGCCCCTTACTGGCTGTAGCTCCAGCCCTCCTTCCTCTAGCCCCTCCCCCACTCCACTTCCTGCTCAGAATGGCGGTGACTCAGATGGCAGGCGAACAACCAGACGTCTGCTATCTCGGCTTTTCTCCCGACGCTCCAGTCAGGAATCAAACTCTACTGCCAGCTCTGCCTCTGATTCAAGGTCATATGACTCGAGCCCAGATGAAGCCCCGCCCTCTGAATCTTCTCCTCCTGTCAGTAGAGAAAATTTGGAAGCGGAGTTGAGGAACTTGAGCAGACGCGGACCATCTCTCGCTCCAGTCCAGGAGAGCTCTGGTGTAGTAGAGCCCCAACCGGAATCGCTCAGATCTCCAGCAGGCCTGTCCTGGCTGAACTGGAACCGCTGTACCCCACTGTTTTCTCGTCGCAGGAGGGAAGGGCGTGACGAAAGCGCCCGCATGGACCCTCGTCGTTCACCCCAATTCCCTTTTGGTGACCGAGATTGCTGTAAAACACCTGACCGGGGCACGGATTGTGATGATGATGATGATGATGACGACGATGATGAAGATGAGTCCTCAGAGGGTGCCACAGCAGCACCCTCTGCTGGAGCCTCAGGTCTCTCTGCATCACTACTGCAGGACGGAGCCCGTCTGGCAGGACGAAGCCATGGCATGGGCAGGTTGATGACCAACCCGCTCTTCCGTATGCCTGAGAATATGATAATTGGGGTAGGAGTGGGAGCAGAAGGGAGGAGTCAAACTGATGAGCAGGTGAAAGACAAGCCCGCCCCCTCCAGAGACCCAGAGAGACTGCGACAGATTCAGGAGAGGTCAGAGGGCGATTTTAATGATCTCTAGTTGTTGTGATGAAAAAAATTACAGTAAAGGTATAGTCCCATTATCAAAAAAGGTCCATTGTTATGAATGTAGCGACGTATGAAGCACAGATCCCATATAAGGAGTCACTTTTAAACCAAGCGCTGAAGTACACACTCGAATGCACTTTATAAACCGATGAATTACGACCTGCACGGTTTTCTCACTGCATGCATATTTATAGGCTGTGTGCAAAGTTTAGATTCAATCTGCTCCACACATCTGTTTTGAAAGTTTCTAGTAATCCTGAAGATCTTGATTAGCTGGTTCAATTGTGGTCAAATAGAAATGGGTCTAAACTATGAATGATTGGGCACCCTTGGTGTAGTAGGAGCAGATGTTCACAATTTAATTTGCTGAATTTAACCACACCCCCTTCCTACTTTTAGCCTGCTGTTGGAGGACTCTGATGAGGAGGAGGGTGATCTGTGCCGAATCTGTCAGATGGGGGAGCAGTCGAGTTCCAACCCTCTGATCGAGCCCTGCAAGTGCACCGGCAGCCTGCAGTTTGTGCACCAGGACTGCATTAAGAAATGGCTCCGCTCCAAAATCAGCTCCGGTATGGCTGTCTTTTCCTGAGAGCAGAAGTAAATTAGGTGTTTATTTAGTGTATATTCATTTGTTTGATGTGCACTGAGAAAGGAACAATTTCAGTCTGACAAAGAGGATTTGGGGTTCATTTCCTGCAGTTCAGGACTACTGATGCATAACCGTGTGAAATCGGACTGATAAAATGCACAAGTTTGAAAATGTCAAGTCGTGAAGAATCTCTTTTGTTAACTGTCTGTATTTTAAAACTTAAGAACTTTTCCATTGAAGAGACTTATAGCCTTTACAGTAGAATGCTGTGGCAGTGCCATTGTAGAGTTCAGAATGATTACCATAATTATGTACCAAAGTATTTATTTGGTACTCTGATGTAATTAAAAGAATACTTTGGTTCTATCATTTCCCAGCTTATTGGGAAATGTCACGTTTCTTAACATTTCCCAAGAGCAACATAGCATTGCCAAGGTACAGATAAATTGTGGTTCAAAAATTCATTGAGGGCTAAATTTGCTAATAAGAGGTGTATTTTTTTCATTCATTATTGAGTCCATATTTCTGCTTTGATACACAGGTTCTAACTTGGAGGCAATCACTACATGTGAACTTTGTAAGGAAAAACTGCACCTGAACATTGAGAACTTTGACATCAATGAGCTCTACAGATCTCATGAAAGGGTAAGTGTATCAACACAATATTACACAATCAAGCACATTGTTTAGATTACCTATTATTTCTAAGGCCAGACACATACTTGCCACTAGTGCATTTGCAAATTGTGTGGTCTGGCTGATCATACCAGACTACTTTTCATTTGGTGAACTATTCACCCTCATGATGTTCCAAACCTGTATGACTTTCTTCTGTGAAACCCAAAATTGTTTGGGATTGGTTAGGAATTGAGAATTTTTTTTATTTTTTTTTTTATACCAAAAATATATATTTTTTCCCTATTATGTTTTTGACCAGTTGTGGTTTTTAAAGAATCTTTAAAGTGACAAGAGTTATTATGTGGAATTAAGGCCTGTTAACACTAACATGAATTTGGTCTGATTTTCTCTTGCCTTTTTTTTTTGTTTTTTTTGCTCTGTTCAGACCAATGTGGAAAAAACAGCAGGTGGCACTTTAGGAAAAGCAGAATTACATTGGTAAACAAAGCAGCACTGCGCAACTTCTGACACTCTCTTGTCACAAAGAAAAAAGGAAGTCAAACTGTTTTTATATCTTTTCAAACAGATGTTCAGGTTTTTGCATTCGCTGTGGTGTTTATCAAATAACGCCAAATACAACCGTACAGGGACAAAAAAAAGTTCTGGATTCTTCCTCTGCTATTCACTGTTGCTTAGCAAAATACTTTTTTTGTGAGAGCCAGCAAGTCCTAGTTTTATGTAACAGCAGAGTCTGTCAAAGTGTGAAAATGTCACATTGATAGTATGTGAATGTTTGTTATGGCCTGAAAAGAGGCATCAATAGCCCATGCATTAATAGTGCAAACAGACCTTTATGAGCCATTCACAAAGAGTACGTTTTTGCATTTAAAAATACGAGACCGGGTAGAAGAATGGAGAAAAAAAAATCTAGTAGACTGTTGAACTCGTAACTTGAGCTCTGCATTGGTCTAGCATATTTACATGGAAAAACAATAAATCAGGGGCCTGTACCATGATGGTAGTGGAACAAACTCAATGTTACAGGATTAGTTTTAAGCTGACAAAACCAAATCACTCCAATCCGGCTTTGTTGGTACCATGATGCTGATCATCAACTTAACATCAACTGTTAACTCTGGTTTTGATCTGGAGTTCGTGGAAAGTGTGCATACAAATGTGTGACATCAGTGGCGAACAGCCAATCACAAGCCTTACAACATAGAGAAACTGCGATTCACTTCTCGCGAGAGAGACCGCGTGATTCTAAACTCTTTTGCTGAAGGTTAAGGGGTTGAAGAATATGAAGAATTTGAACGCATTTACACCGAAGAAAATACTTGTCCATGAAAGAGGACAAATAAATGAAATTATCTCCCTCTGTCAGTGCAAGCAAAATTTGTGAAGTTAGTTCATGTAGTTGATAATATATAACGATAGAGACTCGAACATATAAGGTCACATGAAGTCATTTTTAAAGCATTATCTATTGATTCTACGGCTAATTTATATGTTACATATATTAATATTCATTTAAACTAAATATTTAATAATGTTAAACTAAAATTGCTTGTGCGTAATGGATTAATAATTATATAAATCATATAAAATAATTGTAAGTAATTATCATTAAAGCTGCACAATTTCATCGTTAAATATTTTTTTTATTTACTATATAGTGACCTTTAATTTGGAGGAAGAGAAACTGGGGGAGTGACTTTATTGCGCTGGATGTGTCAGTGTCACTTTGCTCCCATCTGATTGGTCAAGTTTTGGTTTGAGATCTCTGACCCAGAACATAACCTGCGCCAGAGCAGGTTAGCCATGGAGCGTAAGCAGTGTTGGGGAGTAACTAGTTACATGTAACGGAATTACGTAATTTAATTACAAAATAAAAGTAATTGTAATCAGTTACAGTTACAGAGAATTTTTTTTTGTTATTAAATTAGTTACTTATGAAAATGTTAAGGATTACAAAGGGAGTTACATCTGCTTTTTTCACACACGCTCTCACATACAGATTTAATTGATTTCTTTCATAAATTGCAGTGACTGCTCTAAAATATGAAACACCAAAGTTTCTGGAGTTTAGAACATGCTTATTTGATCATTCTTTTATTTCCTACATGGGTTTATGTATAGCTATGCTTCATTTTTTTAAAGGGGTCATATGACGTTGCTAAAAATAACATTATTTTGTGTATTTGGTGTAATGAAATGTGTTTATGCGGTTTAAAGTTAAAAAAACATTATTTTCCACATACTGTACATTATTGTTTCTCCTCTATGCCCCGCCTTTCTGAAACGCGTCGATTTTTACAAAGCTCATCGGTCTGAAAA